AAGCGTGAAAACTGTCCATATTTTGATGTCATGAAATGTAAATTAAAAATTGTTATTTTACGGTGATAATCTTGTTTTCTTGTGCCAATAATGCATAATTTCATTTGATAAACACGTTTAGATTGAATGGTAATTTATAATCAGTCACAAGAACGTCGAATCTGAATCACTTGAAAAAAACACGGGGGTTCTTAACTTTTTTCCAGGTGTATATGTCAAAACTACAACTCAGAGGCGTCGCTAGGCACTGGTAGGCCCCTGTCCCGATTCTATTAGACGGAACCCCGAATCCCCAGTTGGTGTCTTGAAAATCAGAATAGAAAACCATGATCAATATGATACTGAAACGTCGAAAAATCCCTGACCTATGGGCCCGACCCTCGAATTTTTAAGCACCTAGCGACGCCTCTGCTACTCCTTCTACATTAAGTTTTAACTTCCACAGTGCATGATACATAGTTTACAGTTACGACACCGAAACCAATAGTTGCATATATTTCACGGTTATAATTTCTACACTACATGCTACGCATTTTACAGTTACGAAACCGACACTAATAGATAAATATATTTCACAGTTACACCTTTTACATCATCATGCTTCGAATTTCAAAATAATATATATGCATGTATTTAAGTTACAACTTCTACGTACATGTTATAGTTGCAAACCTTACAGTAATAGCTCAATATATTTCAGTTATGAAGGTGGCTTTAACATTAGATATATAACTACCTACAGCAATAAAACTGTAATAATTGTTTAAATATTTTGCAGTCATGTTTACACTAAGAATTACATACATTTCAGAGTTATAGACTCCAAATATCAACCTTATTAATTATATATTTCACTGTAATGAATTTTAAAAGACATATATATTTTGCACTTACCACGTGAACGCTCAGCGTTCCATAAACACACAACTATTACACTAAGAGTTCTATGTATTTCATGAGCACGACGTCTAAAGTAATAATTTTCTATATTCAGCTATGACATCCATATATTTCAGTTTCATCTGAACCAATAGATGCTTCAAAGTCATAACATCTCGTTTTACTTCATGTATGATGTCTTCAGTAAACGCTCCATAATTTTACAGTTACAACATCCATATATTTCAGTTTCATCTGAACTAATAGATACTTCAAAGTCATAACATCTCGTTTTACTTCATGTATGATGTCTTCAGTAAACGCTCCATAATTTTACAGTTACAACATCCATATATTTTAGTTTCATCTGAACCAATAGATGCTTCAAAGTCATAACATCTCGTTTTACTTCATGTATGATGTCTTCAGTAAACGCTCCATAATTTTACAGTTACAACATCCATATATTTTAGTTTCATCTGAACCAATAGATACTTCAAAGTCACAATATTTCGTTATACATCGCGTATGAAGTCTTCATTAAACCACTCCTTAATTTAATAGTTACGCCATCTACACGTAAAGCTAAATATGAAACATTAACAGTCAAAGTGTTGGACATTATCTTTATAAATCATAGTTAAAACGTCTACACTGGTAACTGTGTACAGTCACCATCTCTATAAATCACAGTTAAAACGTCTACACTGGTAACTGTGTACAGTCACCATCTCTATAAATCACAGTTAAAACGTCTACACTGGTAACTGTGTACAGTCATTATCTCTATAAATCACAGTTAAAACGTCTACACTAGTAACTTTGTGCAGTCACCATCTCTATAAATCACAGTTAAAACGTCTGCACTGGTAACTGTACAGTCATTATCTCTATAAATCACAGTTAAAACGTCTACACTAGTAACTGTGTACAGTCATCATCTCTATAAATCATAGTTAAAACGTCTACACTGGTAACTGTGTACATTCATCATCTCTATAAATCACAGTTAAAACGTCTACACTGGTAACTGTGTACAGTCATTATCTCTATAAATTACAGTTAAAACGTCAACACTAGTAACTTTGTGCAGTCATAATCTCTATAAATCACAGTTAAAACGTCTACACTGGTAACTGTGTACAGGCATCATCTCTATAAATCACAGTTAAAACGCCTACACTGGTAACTGTGTACAGTCATCATCTCTATAAATCACAGTTAAAACGTCTACACTGGTAACTGTGCACAGTCATTATCTCTATAAATCACAGTTAAAACGTCTACACTGGTAACTGTGTACAGTCATTATCTCTATAAATCACACTAAAATTAGAATATTAAGAATAATTAGTTTATGCAATTCATAGTTTCTATGCATTACGGAATGTCTAACATGATGACACACCAGTTACAGAGTCTACAGTTTTGTATAAGTCATTTGGAATGACTCACATAATACCAACAGTATACATCGAGAAAAGACATGTGTTTTGCTCCTCATTGAGTACGTCCTCGGTAATAATGACAGCTTGGGCTGTATTACGTGCACTAATAGGTGGTACACATACCATGGACCAGAACACCACTTCTGTTCTAAAGTAGTTCCTAGAATAACAGTATCTCAAGGTCTATCCGTTCTGTCCCTCGGGCAGCATTCTTAAATGGTGAATCAGTTGGAAACTGATCAGAGTTCGGAGTTAACTGTTTCAACCCACAGAACATGGCAAGCAGTTAATAAATACGTATAAAAGCGAAGTGTCAGTCAATTGATCACGCTCAATTTCTCCGAATTTCGTGAGTTATATGAGTCCAGTTCCACTTTTTATCCTATAATACTTCCTCTTTTGATTGCTCGTTCCCATTTTAGTTGAATTTAATCGCTAACATAGGCGTAAATAGCTCCTAAATTTCGGCACTTTTTCTGCTATATAAAAGCCTGTCAAGGAGGGATTTCCCAGGACCAGATCAGGTATGGCGTTATGTGTATGACACCACACCATTATGACGTCAAGTTAGGTAGGATCCGAATAGGAAAGCCGGGGAGACTCCTAAGAAAAATAAGCCAAACATCAGCGCAAATCTATGCTTGGGAATTATTACGAAAAAAAACCTTTGTTAAAACAGACTGAAGATACCAATTATCTGTAGGGAAGATGACGACTTTTCCTCTGAAGAAGAACAGGTGTGTATGCAATCACATGGTCATCGTATGTTTTAATCTTTTATCCAAAGGCACCAATATGCAGCATGTTTGTTCAGTTATATGTAGTTGTTTCCAGTCATTTTGACGGGCTTTTACGCTAGTATTTCTATAAAAGATGGTAGTCCGAAATGTCCAAATGGTACAATATCACATTCATGATCCAAGTTTCCCGGCTAATATGCAATATAACCTATAATTTTTAAAGCAGTATTTCAATTACGTATATATATATATACAGGTTTCTAAACGGTAAAAGCCTCAATATAAGCTTATTGTGAGTATTAAAAAAAAGACCAAAATTCTTGACAGAAACGTATATTGAAACAGATCTTCAAACTTGTTGTGGTAGATAGTTTTTCTTTTCTTTGTGAAATGAAAGAGTTTAGAGCATTACCATAAATAAAAGAAGGGAATAAAGAAGCTAATGCTAATTATTGTTTCAAGTTAGCCAACAACACTTCGGTTACAACTTTTCTTCTTCAAGCTATTAAAGATCTTCCGTAATTCATCACGCAGCTCACTGGACGCATACGTGTACAGAAATGGACTTATAATACTTTTCAAGACAATTCCGTGCCTGAAGATGCTGAAAGCTATTCCAAATCCTACACATATCCGAGTCATTTCCATAAGGTTTGAGTTTAAATGCGTGCATATGCTCAGTCCCATCCCCGAAATGCTAACCGGCAATAAAGTAAGCCAGGAAGCTGCGATCATGACTCCTGCTGTTCTTAGAGCTTTGAAATGTACTTGTAAAGCAGGAAGATTATTTCCTATGGCTATAGCTCTGGCATGATGTCTAGCGACACAAAGCGAGTAGCAGTGAAAATAAAAAATCCCGACTCCTCCAATCGCAATAAATATCCAGCTGACTAATGACTGGTTTAGAGTAAATTCCAATTTACACGAGACCATTCCGTACGTCGCAAACTGCACAACAAGGTGAGATATGAAATGGAAAATCACACGGATCACAAGCAGGATTAAACATCTTTGAACAGTCACTAGCGTTTCGTACTGAAATGGATTACGAAGAGCCAGAAATCTGTCGAAGGCTAGTAAGAGTGCTGAAGACAGAAGCATATCGGACGGGACACCCAGAAGGAGAACAATTGACTGCTGTAATGCCGTGCAATCGTGCACATTGTAACCAAACTGTGCAAGAATCATCACTCCACTGGTGAGTAGTGAATCAATACTTACAGAACCAAGAAGTATATGAGATGGACGATGAAGAGTCTTTCTGGTAAGTATCGTTCCCAACACTACGACATTGGGAACAACAATCAACAGAAGCAGTACGACAACGAAAGCGCTAGAGTCCATTATGTTAAGAAATCTGAATAGTTGGTTTTCTGAGCTATTCGTATCATTCTTCTGAAGAGTAGCCATAGTACTTCCTTATTACTGACGATGGAATTAAACATTGTATAAATGGGTTTCGTAGCATTATATAGTGTCACTTGACTAAATCAATAATCGGGCAGAAGTTCTGTTGGTTTCATAAAATGAACCAATTACATAAACACCAGGATAATGAGATCTATAGCATGATATTCTATTGGTTAACTATAAAGCGACAAAATTATATTTAGTGAAGAAATGGTTTTTGAATGTAATTTAAAATACTAAGCCTCATTCTGCTTATTACCGGAAGTCGTTTATCTCTAGCTTAATGGCAGCATTATTTCAGCTAATGATGTAAGTAAATGTAAAAACACATTAACATTATGTCACCACTTGAGATAGATACTTCTAATGAGCGACAATAATGGCACTATTTCAGAAAAATCTTTGGATGGGAGGGGGCAAACCCTAACTTCTACTAAATACATGAATTGTTGATGACGTAGGACGTTTCGGAGTTCGTACATCAACTGTAATAACTAAATAAGAGCATGAAACTTATGAGGAATAAAAACATGGAATCTGTACATATTAATGTTAGTATTTTTCCATAAACAGATAGGCCAGTATCTGGGGGAGAGCAAATCAGGAAAAGCTATTAAAGTAAAAATTTATACTTGAAATAAAAATAAAACACTAAAATCACTGAACAGATGATAGTAAAGTGATATATTACAATAACGGCAACTAGCAAGTAAAATCAGCTAATATTATATCATAAAATCGTGTATTTTTCTGTACGAAGATTTACCTTCTTTTAAATATGTTTTTCAACCTATTAGTAATAAAGCACATACGAAGAGTTGACAATATTTCAAAGAACTCCTTTCCTAAATGCAAGCTAAAAGAGAACAGTTTAATGGTACCATAAATACTGTGTTTAATCACTTCTTTTGCGAACAAACCCTGTACTAGACCTTATAAAGCATCTTCTCCATACTTCT